CATGTCATGTGAAATGGAAAAGTATGCCGGCAGGTTGATATTGCCTTTGACGAATAATAGACTATATTTTTAGTTTAGTTATTTAGTTTAAGTAAAAAATTTGAATTTTTTGTTAGTTACGCCTTTTTGCACTTACCAAATAAACCCACTTGTAGAAGCTCCTTTTTTGACCGCAGACGTGTAAAACTTTGTCAACACATGTAGTTTATTGACATTCACAATATTCATTGAAAAAGTCAATTTTCAATTTTTTGTTTGTTACGCCTTTTTGCATCTTAGCTAACGATATCTGTATTTGGAATTGGAGGAAACACAATGGCTTGTTTTTACAACATCTGGCGCTTGCATGAAGACATTGTGTAATCATCATTACAGGTATCAGGACTTCAATTTTGACTCAATCTCAGGCAAATGTTTATTACGACTGAGAGAGAGAGTGATAGAGACACATTAATTGTGTACTGTAAGATACGGTTATAACAACATATCAACCAGTACACACAGAGAAAAAATATAGTTCGGCCAAATATATTTACAAATTTTAATATCCTATTTCCAAAAATATAATTTTTTTTGGGGCTACATCAATTTGGATCCATTCGGAGACTAAAAAAATATTTCAAATGTTTGACTCGTTGTGGGGATCAGATATTTTGTTTGGTAATATTACGATGTACAATATATTTATGAAAATATATACTCTGTTCGTTTCATATGAGATTTATAAACATTTCAGAATGATGACCCTTTGTGCGGAAATACTAAAATGGGTAGACGGATAGGCTTAGTTAACATTATGAGGTTAGTTAACATATAAAGGTCCGGCCCATTTGGGCATGTCGAAAGTCCTAACCGAATTTTCCAAACAGAGTCTAATATGGTATTTTGAATACTAATTTTTGGGCAGGAATTTACTATGGTCACGCTGTTCCTTATAGCATATTAGAGAACAAAATAAATATTTATTATATCTGTCGTAAATATTTCAAATAGTGTCTGCTGATCTCTAAATCATGTCACTGACATGAAAACAATGCAATTTCATTCAATTGATTTGCAAAGTAACAACAAATATAATATCAAAAACTTCTTTTCTTTCCAATCAATGTCTGTTCTGCTGAACAATTGCATTCAAATGTTTTCCTGGTTATGTCGTATTCTAATTTCAATGGATACAATCAAGGCCAGATGTTTATTACGTAAAATTGTAATGGACACGAATATGATTCGTAGAATGCAAATTTTTAAAGGTTCTAGGCATTCAGGAGAATGGTATGAGGTAGAACGGTGGGAGCCTTTTATTCCCTAGCTTCAGTCGGGTGGGGGAGTTCTTGTCCGCCTCAAAACCAAAACCATGTTTCCACTACGTCATTATTATAGACTCCCTAATTTAGTTAATGGAAAAAAATGAAAGAAATTGGAAAAAAATAAAACAATATACCCCACAATAAAAAACCATGAATTTATACTGAAGTGCGGATATCAGTCGAAACCCTATGTTAAAATCTACTTTCAGATGATATTGAAAGGATACCCCTCTTAACCCTCGCCAACCTTTATTCTACGGGGAATTGAATTTGTATGTAGAATCCCAAATACTCTGTCACTCCTGATCTCTAACCCATGGTATGCAAGGAAACGTATAAATTATTTAAGGATTCATTTTGGAAAGACTATATTTTATTCATGACATATTATAATTATAAATTATGAAAATATTTAATTTATATAGAATAAAAATTATTATGAATAAATATTTCACAGAGGATGTAAATGCAGCAATAATATAAAATATAATAATTCAAATATCATCATTATTTCAATTCAATTTAAGACTCAATTAATTAAATTTAACTCAACTATATTTTAATTAACATTGAAATATTGTGTACATTATTGAATTTCAAATCAAATAAATATTAATTCATAGGTCCCTAATAATTAATTCATAGGTCGATAAAGGTAGTGATAAAATATATCATGCTACATATTTTTTTGAAGATGATATAGCAATGAGAAATAACATACAGATATGTAAGACAACATGTGATATTATTTAAGAAAGAAGAGAATGCTACTCTTTTGTTAGCACTGATCAAAATAAACAAACAAAATCAATAATGTAATGTATGTATGTACACATATGTGTACATTTATTTTCGTTTTTGTTTTTGCTTACCCCTTTATCCCGTCATGCTGAAGGCCTCCACTCACGAACTGGATGCGGGTGTACTCTCTTTTTCTTTCGAGAGTTTCTAGCTAATGGAGGAGAATTTTAGTTATGTGATTTTGGTTTTGTTTTGATCAATGAATCTTCTTGCTTTTCTTTTTTTATCAATGAAGGTGTTATTTTTTTACAATTATTCTTTTTTCTATTCTGATTTTATATTAATAGTAAAATGTTTTAGATATTATTCGAGGTGGGGAAGTATCCTCACCTAAATTATTGGTTTATAATGTTTAATATGCAAACTTGTTTCTTCTTGTCATAATTTAAATATGCATAATGGTTTAAAGAAAGAAAAAAAAATGTGGTATTGGATGGTACGATATAAGTACAAAATTCACATAATTTGTATAGAAAAGTTTAAAGGTTTTGAGTGTTATATAACTTTGAATAAGAATGTTTTTCAAACTTTTTGTATAAAATAGCAGTATGAATTTTTAATGTATTTTAGTCAAATTTATGATGTATAGTTAACTGCTTCAGATTCATTTGACCTCTATCTGGGCTTACTGTGGCTAAGTTCGATTGGATTTTGTTGAAGCTTCGGTTGTTAGCTCAAGATTTGATTTGGAGACTGGAATGATGTGTGGATTGCACAGCTTTATACAACTTTGTACCCTCTGTGCATTAACATTTGGCAGCTGTGTTGAAAAGCATATGTAGCTGTGGGCTTAATCTCGGATGCCTGTGTTGGATGTTGACTTTTCAGGTGGTTTTGGTGAAGTCTTCGAACGTTGATGAAATGGAGTCCACTTGCACCGCACGAGATTTTCGTAGATTCAGAACAAGTCTTGGATTTTTAGAAGAAACTTCCTAATGACGAAGTTAAAAGCTTCTTGCTTTTGTTTTCTTCCAACTAGATTTTGCCAATGTTGTTTGTAGCTGGTAATATGGGCGAGTTGGAGTATGTGGTCTGGCGTTATTTTGCCGCTTTTTATCATCCGATTTAGAAAATAAATGTTTGTATCGGATGTACCACTTTTACTTTTGCAATTTTTTATGAAAAATTTGTAATTCAAGTTCTGATTCTTTAGATAATTGTGAAACTTTACAACTTTAATGTCTTTGAAACTTTACGACTTTAGTGTTCGAAGGTTGAATTAAAAAGGAAGTCGCTAGGCTTAGCAGAAAATGATATTGCCTCATAGAATAATAGTTTGATGTTCAAAGCAGAATGTCAAATCTGCTAGAACGATTGTGATTGAAATCGAAATAGCACACTAAAACACTGATGATAAAAAAGGGTTGCCAATTTGATAATAAAATATATTTTTAATTAAAAATAATTAAGAAAATAAAAAATTTTAATTAAAATTATATTTTTCTAAATATATATATTTTTTTTAAATAGAAAAAAATATATAGATAAATAAAAACTGTCTATGAAATTTTCCCTAGTGTAGTTCCTTAATGGGTACCTCAGTCAAGCAGGTGTACTGAACATACCTTCCGATACTTGACCTGATTGAGGTTCCGTTGTTATCGATTGAAGTCATAGACCAAAACAAAAAAGAAGTGTAAAGAACAAAGCGAAAGAAATTATTAAAGTCAAATATCTAAAAAGAAGTGCGGACATTTTCGGTAAACGAATTCCATATTTTTTTACAATTATTTTTGTTGGTCGATCCAAATTCCAGAGACGTATTAATGAGGAGGGATCACCTATATATGAAGGTATGGATGCCGTAAACACCCAACATCAATATATATTTTGAGATTAGCTCTCAAATACTTCATGGTCACTAGTGAGTGTTTATTTTTGTTAATATAATAGATTCATAAAATTTTTAATATGCAATTTACAGAAAAATTGAGAATTGTGAAAGCCAAGATATGCTACCAGTGAACCAACATACGAACAGAGGCGACGATACTTTATGCAGCCATCCATAATCAGTTGTGGATTGGATTCCTGATGTACCCCTAATAAATTCGTTTAATAAATATTAACCTAATTGGTGTAGATTGCTTTGTATTCTCATTTGATATGATTCAATTGCTAAGATCCCTGTATCTTTAATTGTCGTCCACTACAAACCTGATAATTCAGGACACTTAGGAACTGAATAGACGGAAAAAAGTTTCAGCTGTTTAGATGTAGCACTCATATATAGTTTCCTCCAATTTTATTTAAATGGAGCACCATAGTTCTTGAATTGAAACTTTTTTCAAAAGGCTTTGATTTTGCATAACGTCCTGATATTACTGCAGGTCTGACGTCCGCGAAGTCATATATTTTTGTCCGGTTTTATGCAAATGGAGGAGCCTACGTTGCAAATGGTCATCTCTCTGAAATATGGTAGGCTCATTCAGTAACAGCATCATTCGTATGATGAGGCGTGTGTTAAGTGTTCCATATGGCTTCATATATATATTTATGGCTTCCTTGCTATTTAGAGGTTAAATGATGTAACCATTGCTTGTGGTTATTTAAGGAATGTCGAACGTGCCAAATCAACGATCGATTTACAGTGAACTGTGTTGCGGCGAATATACCAAGTGGTGCTTATGAAGATGTAAAAAATGCGTTTAATTCGTTTTTTCGGAAAATTTCATATTGGTAAACGTGAAAGATTTGCTTTTGTAGAAAATTTAGCAAATATCCAATGTCTTGGATAGATTCCAATATACATTTAATCCTATGGTCCCCCAAAGATGCTCCGAGGATAGGCTCTCTGTATAAGCGTGGAAAGCTCATGATGTTCCTGTTGCTTCCCACGCAGGAATGGGCAAGACTCTTGAGTTGCTCCGAAGAACATTTTTCTGGCCTGGAATGGTTCGAGATGTTAGGGACTATATTCGCAACTGCGAGATTTGCAAGACTACAAAATCCCCAAATGTAGTTCTTAAACCGCCAATGGGTAACTTAGTCGAAACATCTCGTCCATTCCAGCGATTATACATTGATATTTTAGGACCCTATCCTAGGAGCAAATCCGGATACATAGGATTGCTTATTGTATTGGATCATCTATCCAAATTTCATTGGATTTGTCCTTTGCGGAAATTTACTGCAACAGCAATCCAAGAATTTCTACAAAAGCAAATCTTTCACGTATATGGGGTGCCGGAGTATATAGTAAGCGACAACGGAAGTCAGTTCCGAGCGAACGAATTAAACGCATTTTTTACATCTCTGGGCATTAAGCACATTTACACGGCTTTATATTCGCCGCAATCGAATGCTTCAGAGCGTGTAAATCGATCGTTGATCGCTGGCATTAGAGCATTCCTTAAAAATGATCACAAGCAATGGGATCAAAACTTGACGGCTATTAGCTGTGCTCTGCGAAATAGCGTACACCAAGCCATAAAGTGCTCCCCCTACCATGCCCTTTATGGATTTGACATGGTAACACACGCCTCATCCTACGAATTGATGCGAAAACTGAGGTTACTGAATGAGCCTACCATGAATCTTCAGAGAGATGACCATTTGCAACTTATTCGTCAAAATTTGCGTAAGCATATTAAAGAAGCTTACGAGAAAAACCAATGTACCTACAATCTTCGAGCACGACAGAGAGCCTTTAACATCGGCCAGGTTGTGTATAGAAGAAACTTTGCTCAAAGCAATTTTGAAAAAAGTTTCAATTCAAAACTTTCGCCTGTCTTCATAAAAGCCCGGGTAAAAGAAAAATTGGGTAACCATTATTATATATTGGAAGACGAAGATGGAAAGCATACAGGAACCTACCATAGTAAGGACATACGAACCTGATTTTCGTCCTTTTTTCCGTCTAATTCAGTTCCTAAGTGTCCTGAATTATCAGGTTTGTAGTGGACGATTATTAAAACCACACAAGCCTTACCCAATTAACCCTAAACAATTTAGACCAATAATTAAACAGCAAACATTGTTCAATATTTATGCACATCTTTCATTTGCAATTGATAAACAAATATCCATAATCCAAAACAATTCCTCAAGATTATTGATCGCTGCTTCGTCTATTCTTGGTGTTTTCCTTGGCTTTTACTAGTCTGTGGGTTGACTGGAACAGTATATTTTTTTGCTTTCAAATTTCAATTTATTCTGTAAATTACATATTAAAATTTGATGAATTTATTATGTTAACAAAAATAAACACTCACTAGTGACCATGAAGTATTTGAGAGGTAATCTCAAAATGTATATCGATGTTGGGTTTTTACGACATCCATACCTTCATATATAGGTGATCCCTCCTCATTAATACGCCTCTGGAATTTGGATCGATCAACAAAAATAAGTTAAAAAAATATGGAATTCGCTTACAGAAAGTTTCCGCACTTCTTTTTAGATATTCCGACTTTAATAATTTCTTTCGTTTTGTTCTTTACACTTTTTGTTTTGGTCTATGCCTTCGATCGATAACAACGGAACTTCAATAAGGTCAAGTATCGGAAGGTATGTTCAGTACACCTACTTTATTGAAGTACCCATTAAAGAAATACACCAGGGAAAATTCATAGACAGTTTTATATGTCTATATATTTTGTTTCTACTTAAAAATAATATTTATTTAGAAAAGTATAATTTTAATTAAAATTTTCTATTTACATAATTATTTTTGAGTAAAAATATATCTTAGTCTCAAATTGGCAACTCTTCTTACCATCTGTGTTCTATTGTGCTATTTCGATTTCAATCGCAATCGTTCTAGCAGATTTGACATTCTGCTTTGAACATCAAACTATTATTCTCGAAATGAGGCAATATCATTTTCTGCTAAGCCTAGCGACTTCCTTTTCAATTCAACCATCAAACAGAACACACTGAAGCAAAAAAAAAAAAAATCTAAAATTATATAAAGAATCAGAGTTTGAATTACAATTTCTTCACAAAAAATCGCAAAATTAACAGTGATACCTCCGATACCGATATTTATTTTTCCATATCGGATGATAAAAAGGCGAGAATCAAGGCCAGACAATTTACTCCAACCCGCTCATATTACCAGCTACAAACAATCAAGGGAGTTTCTTCTAAAAATCCAAAATTCTTGTGAATCAAGCGAAAATCTCGTGCGGTGCAAGTGGACTCCATTTTATCAAAGCTTGAAGACTTCGCCAGAAACACCCGATACCTTCCAACACAGGTATCAGAGATTAAGCCCACAACAACAAAAACTTTCAACACAATTGCCACATGCTAAGGAACAGAAGGTACCCAGTTGTATAAAGCTGAGCAATCCACTCATCATTCCTGTCTCCAAATCAAATCTTGAGCGAACAACCGAAGCTTCAACAAATTCCAGTCGAACTTAGCCACAGTAAGCCCAGATAGAGGTCAAATGAATCTGAAGCAGTTTACTATACATCATCAAGTTGACTAAAATACATTAATAATTCATACTGATATTTTATACAGAAAGTTCGAAAAATATTCTTATTCCATAAAGATAAAACCACACAAAATCTTTAAATTTGTTTCAAAAATTATGTGAATTTTGTACTTATAACGTACCATCCTAACTATGTTTTATTCATTTTGTATATTTCATTAAACCATCATCATATATATTTAAATTATCTAAAGAAGAAACAAATTTCACATTAAATATGATAAACCAATAATTTAGGTGAGGATACTTCCCCACCTCAAATAATATCTAAGACGTTTTACTACAATTATAAAAAATCAGAATAGAAAAAAGAATAATTGTAAAAAAAAAACACCTTCATTGATAAAAAAGAAAAGCAACAAGATTCATTGATCAAAACAAAACCAAAATCACATAACTAAAATTCTCCTCCATTAGCTAGAAACTCTCGAAAGAAAAAGAGAGTACACCCGTATCCAGTTCGTGAGTGGAGGCCTTCAGCATGACGGGATAAAGGGGTAAGCAAAAACAAAAACGAAAATAAATGTACACATATGTGTACATACATACATTACATTATTGATTTTGTTTGTTTATTTTGATCAGTGCGAGTTAGACACAAAGCATGAGCAACAACATACAGACGAATGTAAGAGCTTAACAAAAGAGTAGCATTCTCTTCTTTCTTAAATAATATCACATGTTGTGTTACATATCTGTATGTTATTTCTCATTGCTATATAATCTTAAAAAAATATGTAGCATGATATATTTTATCACTACCTTTATCGAACATTATGTTATTTAAGAATACATTAACCCATTAGGGACCAATGTATGAATATCAATATATTTTATTACAATTAAAATGAAGACATTTGCTTAATATGTGTTAAAAAGAATTATTATTTAATCTCGAATATATTTTTATAATTATGTCTATTAAGAAATATATAATTTTTTCATAATTTTTTTTTATCTTTATATATAAATGTTATTATTACATTATGTTTTGAATAAAATAATGCTGTTCAATATGAATTCTTAAACAGTTTATACGTTTCCTTGCATACAATGGGTTAGAGATTAGGAGTGACAGAGTATTAGGGTTTCTACATAAAATTTTAATTCCCCGTAGAATAAAGGTTGGCGAGGGTTAAGAGGGGTATCCTTTCAATATCATCTGAAAGTCGATTTTAACATAGGGTTTCGACTAATATCCGCACTTCAGTATAAATTCATGTTTTTTTTTATTGTGGGGTATATTGTTTTATTTTTTTTTTCAATTTCTTTCATTTTTTTCCATTAACTAAATAAGGGAGTCTATAATAAGGACGTAGTGGAAACATGGTTTTGGTTTTGAGGCGAACAAGAACTCCCCCACCCGACTGAAGCTAGGGAATAAAGGCTCCCACCGTTCTACCTCATACCATTCTCCTGAATGCCTAGAACATTTAAAAATTTGCATTCTACGAATCATATTCGTGTCCATTACAATGGGTCCCATCTTCCTACTTTATCTAGGCTTGGAAACGATAATACGTTGTACAAAAATTAATTAAAATCCTTGTGCCAATAAGACGAGCCACCTTTAAGTATGCCGATTGTCATATCTCGACTAGCTGAGTCGATCTAGACATGTGTGTCCGTCCGTTCGTCTGTCCATTATAATTTGTAAACACGATACAGGCCACAGTTATGGACCAATCTTCACGAAATTTTGCATGTAGGATGGGTTCTGGCCAATGAAGACCCCTATTGTTTTTGGCAAAGATCGGTTAATATTTAAAGGATGAAGTGGACCAAATACTAAATTTTTGTTGGTTTTTCTGGTCGCTCCAGATGCCGCAGTTATGATCCGAACATGGTGAAATTTTACATGGAGAAGAGGATCGGGTCTAAGAATAAGCATACCTGTTTGGTCAATATTTAGCGGGTCAAATGGACCCTGCCTTTTGTGTGAAAAATTACAACATATATACTTGCTCCTGAGGGATATATACCCGAGAAGTTGATAATATATCCAAGAGGAGTTGTTGACCTTCAAATTGATACCAATTATATGGTTGTATGTACTCTGATGTGGGAGTTATACGTAATTAGGTAAAGGTGCTATGTGCATAGTATTACTATTACTCCATTAGAGGACGAAATGTCGCGCTGATCGCTTAGAAATTGTACATGAAATTCCGATTATGGTCAAGGAGACGCCTATAGTTTTTGGTGATGTTGCGATTTCATTCAGGGGGTGCAACGAACCGAAAACTTTAATTTTGTCAGATTTTCTAGTCGCTCTAGAGGCAATTATTATATGCAGAACATCACATATTTACAAGGTGGAGAGGATCTGACAAACTAGATAGAGGGGCTGTTTAGATAATGATCGGTCAATATTCCGAGGGTCAAATCAACCAGAACCTAAAGTGGCAAATTTTTTATTTTATGGCGAAAAAATCACTTCAAGAAAAAACATTTTGAAAAATATGCAAGACTTAGAAAGTGGAGTTGTTGATCTATAATCGGTAAAAAGGGTGCAAATATCACGAAATATAGAACCGCCGAAAGTTTGCTTTTCGTGGTAGTTGTGTAGGGTATCATATGGTCGGCCCCGTCCGACTATACTGCTCCGCTCAATGGTTTCTCTATAAAATTGTTTATAGTGTTTCAATTTCCAATATGTCGTTTAAGTAAATATATCCCTCCCTAATAAACACAATATCAAGCTATTCGTTACGACGCAGTTTGTCGACCTAGTAATTAGTTTGCAATGAATTGCAATTTGTTTCAACACTTTACAGGTAACAACGGCGAAATGAAACAAAAAAACTAAAACCAAACAAAAAATCAACAAATAAAACAGTCCATATTACGATTTCATTATTAATTAAAATCATTTGTTCTGCATTTATAGATTCTCTTTTTTGTTGCTGCTACGTTTTTGCATTCAAAATGAAACGTGTGCGTTGCTGGACGCTGTCGCCAACGGCACTGGCTGACTTAATTAATTTGTATTGGCCACAGTATCTCCCTCTGACCAATGGTACATGCCAAACGGTGCAGTGCAACACGTATCGATCTATGTATGTATGTTTGTTGCCGTTGCTGTTCATTGTCATTCAATCAATCAATATTCACACCCATTCTAATGATTTATGTATCGAATGAATAGATAACTATCTCATAGCGTCTATTTTTTCTCTAATCCAATGTGTAGAATAAAAGTAGCATTTTTGTGTCATAGAAATGATTTTGCCATCAATCCGAATTAAGAACAGATGTAGTTTGCGAGCGATGCCGTAAAAATCGGCCAATGCTAATTAATTTGAATACAATTAATTCTCAGTGAAATGCATTAAGTGTGAATAATGCGTTATCGCTAATTTTTTTTTGGATGTAGTGGATTTTTTAGTGAGATGCATTTTTTTGGAAATGGTTGGAATGATGTAAATTTTACAACTGTTGCGGTGTGCCCTTGTCATTTTATACGATTGACAATTAAATTACGATGAAGGTAGTATCGTCATATTCGGAGTCCTGACAACTGATCTACAAATGTTGCCTTGAAGAAGAAACAAGTGAAAAAGCGTTAAGTTCGGCCGGGCTGAACTTTGGATACCCACCACCAAAGTTATACTGACAGATACATGCAATGAAAATATAGGGAACATACCAAAAAGTGGGCATATACCGATAATTCTACAAACCGATTTATGTAAGCCATTATGAACACCAAATACAAACTTCAGCAATTTTTAATGGGGAGTTTTCCTAAAATCTGTAAGATCCAAAAAGTGGGCTGATGCTGATAACGCATGGTAGAGAATAAAATCCTCCAACTACTGTAATTTAGATTACAAAGGGTATGCCTAAAGGGGGACCAATATTGATTACATAGTGTAGGAAATAGTGAATATTTGGGGATATCATAATATGAGCGCTATGCTTAATTAATGATAATGTATATCAATATTTTAATTGTTTATCTCAATTCTTTCCTTCAGGAGGTATCACTATATTGAGGAGATACCTAAATGTCTACCGATATATTTCATTATCGTCATATTTGAGTTTTTTATCACAATATCTTTAGAAGGCGGAATGCTAACAATAGATGGCTAAATAATCTTTGTAAGGTAAAAATAGACTATTCCCCGTAACGACTACCGGACACACGGGACAAATCAGATAAATATTTTAATATAAACAAGTGAAAAAGCGGTAAGTTCGGCCGGGCCGAACTTTGGATACCCTCCACCATAGTTATATTGACAGGTACTATAAATGAAAATATAGGGAACATACCAAAAAGTGGACCTATACCGACATTTCTAAAAACGGATTATGTAAACCATAATAAAAATTTTAGAAATTTTTAAAGGATAATTATACCCTCAGCCTTATGGCTAATGAGGGTGTATACACTTTAACACGATGAAAATGTGTCTCATTGAAATATTGGTTCTAGTCCATGGTCCATGTTTCTTTGGACCAAATTTGTTTCAGAAAATTTAGATTTCATCCGAACTTTGCCCATCTCATTATTTCTTCCAAGCTTAGTTCAAATTCGAAGCTGGGGGATATTGGTCCACTCCTTCTGGTACCTCCCACACAGGAGCTAGGCCTAAATGCTGGTTTTAGTTCATATATAGTTCATTATCGAACCTTACGTTCTCATTTTTTTATCTCTCTATCCTCCGCAGGTGAAATGATTACAAAAGAGTCTTAGAACCAAACTCAAAATGCGGAACAAATCAGATAACTATTTTAATATTAACAAGTGAAAAAGCGGTAAGTTCGGCCGGGCCGAACTTTGGATACCCTCCACCATAGTTATATTGACAGGTACTATAAATGAAAATATAGGGAACATACCAAAAAGTGGACCTATACCGACATTTCTAAAAACGGATTATGTAAACCATAATAAAAATTTTAGAAATTTTT